GCTAGTAAACACGTCCTCTCTGCGCTGTCGAGTCGGTCGCGCAGCTCGGTCCATTGAGCCGCGCCGATGACAGGTCAGCGCGGCGTGAACACTTTAATACCGCGCTGTTTCATCCCACTTTTGGGTTGTTTGGCTTCCCATACAGTCAGTTCAGAAATGAAGCGACTCGAGGAAAGTGTGAAATAACATCTCTGCAAGACTTCTGCAAGCAAGAAAGCAGACACCACGACAGGAGACAGAAGAGTCGCCAACAAGTAAGATTTCAAGTGAAAGCAAACAAAATGTGTATACTTTAGTTAAACTATATGTTTCAAACATTGTTACAAGCATAAGTTGCCAGATAAGTTGTGTTATTTTCAAAGTCAACCCTTTGTAAATCACATTAACATTTATACAGACACATGGCTGTAATCAGGGTTTAAAAATTAGTAAGGTCTGGGGTGTGGCGTTCAGAACTGTGCTATAATAACATCTAAAATGTAACTCATATACAGTACAGTAGGCCTAACATATAACATTTAAAAGAGACAGACATGTAGATGTTTGTGAACAGTGTTTACAATTTACAAAGACATGTTACAAACTATTTAGATGCTGTTTGCTGTAGTGTGTAGTGTATAAGTCAAGGGAAAGACCCACTGCAATAGAAAAACAATGTTGTAAAAGTGTGTTATATTATCCAATTAGTCCAATTATAAAACGAGCCGTTTTGCTTACATGAATGCTTCGTGGCAGGAGGTACAAAGATCTCCTATTGTGTCAAAAGAGTATAGCACGTTTCTCATGTTTTGTTTTCTCGTGAATTCTCAACCAGTCCTTTCAACCATCATGAATTCTCATGGAATTTGGAATCCCTGGCCGCAGATTCACACCGAGTTATGGGAAGCCAAACGACCCAAAAGTGGGACGAAACAGCGCGGTATAAGGGGCCGAATATAGGCAAACTGTCTAAACTTAATTACACACGCAGACACTAGTTTTAAAAAGCGAATTAGTCATTTAATTAGTAATTAATTAAATGCAAGTAATTTATAATTAGTAATTCTCTTCCATTTTTACTTGACCCTCTAACTATGGAGCCAGAATAATCTCAATAATAATTCACGCAAAAGACGCCATGCACACATGCGTAACCCAATTCACATGCATGAGAAATATTTCAAGTGCACAAAACTCAAGTTTGTTATTTCAAATGAGCGGCAGGCGCGCTCATTTTTTCCAGGCACTTCTGCGTCGTATCGAGATAAAAACATTTCAACTTTTCAGAATGCCGCAAGCGCACCGCGGGTCATGTGACAAGAACCAACCAATCAGCTTCATCCTTTCCCGTAACAACATTAAATGCTCAGTCTAGATGAAGGAACAGCTGATCATAGCTGTACAGGGATAGCCATTTTTAAATCAATTTAGTAGCAGAGCTACTGCAAGCGATTTTTAGTGCTGCAAATCCACTTATCCTTTGCTGAAACTTCCAAGTCTTCATGGAGAGCGGAGGTCATGGTTGCATAGCAACGGCAGATGCCTCCGGAGCGCAAGCGCCCGAACGCTTTGGGAAAAAAGCAGAAAACGGCGCGCCTAGCGTTTTCCACGCGTTTTTAGGCGCGACATGTGAACGGCCCCTTAAAGTGTTCGCGCCGCGCTGACCTGTCAAATGTCAAATTTACTTAAAATATGCCTTGATGAACGAAACCATAAAATATTTTAATTAATGCCTCAAAGTAGCAAACACTACTGTTTACATGTAGTAATATGAAAGATAATAAGCAAAAATTTAGTAGCAGAGCTACTGCAAGCGATTTTTAGTGCTGCAAATCCACTTATCCTTTGCTGAAACTTCCAAGTCTTCATGGAGAGCGGAGGTCATGGTTGCATAGCAACGGCAGATGCCTCCGGAGCGCAAGCGCCCGAACGCTTTGGGAAAAAAGCAGAAAACGGCGCGCCTAGCGTTTTCCACGCGTTTTTAGGCGCGACATGTGAACGGCCCCTTAAAGTGTTCGCGCCGGGCTGACCTGTCAAATGTCAAATTTACTTAAAATATGCCTTGATGAACGAAACCATAAAATATTTTAATTAATGCCTCAAAGTAGCAAACACTACTGTTTACATGTAGTAATATGAAAGATAATAAGCAAAAGAAATGTAATAACTCTTCATTATGTTATGTGCAGGAAAAAAACAAACTTCTGCGGAGAGTAGCCTAATGTTCGCGCTGTGCTGTTGTGACTGATCCGCGCCGCGCTGTCAGCTCGGTGGTGCTAGTAAACACGTCCTCTCTGCGCTGTCGAGTCGGTCGCGCAGCTCGGTCCATTGAGCCGCGCCGATGACAGGTCAGCGCGGCGTGAACACTTTAATACCGCGCTGTTTCATCCCACTTTTGGGTTGTTTGGCTTCCCATACAGTCAGTTCAGAAATGAAGCGACTCGAGGAAAGTGTGAAATAACATCTCTGCAAGACTTCTGCAAGCAAGAAAGCAGACACCACGACAGGAGACAGAAGAGTCGCCAACAAGTAAGATTTCAAGTGAAAGCAAACAAAATGTGTATACTTTAGTTAAACTATATGTTTCAAACATTGTTACAAGCATAAGTTGCCAGATAAGTTGTGTTATTTTCAAAGTCAACCCTTTGTAAATCACATTAACATTTATACACACACATGGCTGTAATCAGGGTTTAAAAATTAGTAAGGTCTGGGGTGTGGCGTTCAGAACTGTGCTATAATAACACCTAAAAATGTAACTCATATACAGTACAGTAGGCCTAACATATAACATTTAAAAGAGACAGACATGTAGATGTTTGTGAACAGTGTTTACAATTTACAAAGACATGTTACAAACTATTTAGATGCTGTTTGCTGTAGTGTGTAGTGTAGGATTGGCTAAAGCGTACGAGTGTCCCGCGTGGGAGGAGTTCGCTGCCAGAAAGGTCTCAAAATTCACACACAAATCCAAGGCGATTCACATTCACAGCCCATGATAAACTCGTGAATTTTTAACATGAAACAATTTTGTACACATTTGAACATCTGTGTATTGTGTTTTGCATTTGTGAAACATATTTTATGAATATACATTCTTATTTTGTGCATGTGCATTGGTTTTTGTGAATATATATATATTTTTCCTGCACGTGAATTATTTCTCATGCATGTGAATTGGGTTACGCATGTGTGCATCACGTCTTTTGCGTGAATTATTATTGAGATTATTCTGGCTCCATATCTAGCACTCTCTATTCTAATTCTACTCAAAAAAAAAAAAACTTGCCCCTTTTAGACTTGTACTCTATTCAGACCTCTGTGACCTCATAGCTGGCTCTGGCCACACATACATACAGTATATAGGCTATATAGTAGCGTGTGAAACAACGTCACTACAATGTCAAGTCAAGAGTATTGCAAGTATGTGATTATCTTCAGAAAAAAAGAAACCATGACAGATGACAAGAGTCGCCGACAGGTAAGATTTGTGAATCCTTAAACATGTAAATCACATTTGCAGTTATACACAAACACTGACTTCTGCCATCAGTCTGAAGGTCTGGCTACGCGAGACTAGCATCCAGGAAACCTTATAACTGCCTGTACAATTAGGAAGAGGCCGCCCTTACAGGCCAGAGAAGCTCAAGTCAAATTGAGCTTTATTGTCATTCCGCTACATGTAGGGGCATACAGTGGAACGAAATGTCGTGCCTCACAGGACCATGGTGCTACATAAATACAGACATACAACAATGAAGTAAAACAATATAAACCTATACACAACTAACCTACTGACAGATTTTGACTATAAATATACTATATATAAATGGTTACCTATACATAAACTAAAAAATACAAACTATACAAATGCTTCACATAAATACTGTACTTGTGCAAAGAGAAACATCGTAAGTCAAGCAGATGGCTGGGGAACAGTGCAAGATGATTTGTAGTGCATGAGCATGAAAACATACATATATTACTGAGTCCTTTGTGGGATTATGTACACACAGCAGTGTGTGTGGAAAGTGTCTAGTGCGCATAGAGGAAAGTATGTAACTACAGGTGGTTTGTACAGGCCCCCACTGTACAAACAGAACACAAAGAATTGCACAATTGTGGAGGGGGAGGGGGTGAGATGGTCCATGTTTCAGGAGGTAGGGGTTTGTATGTGGTTTCAGAGGGGGGTGGGGTGATTTTCACAGCCTGGGGGGAAAGCTGTTGAGCAATCTGGCAGAGCGGGCTCTGATGCTCCGGTACCATCTTCCTGATGATAGGAGCTGGAAGAAACTGTGGGAGGGATGGGTGGTGTCCTTCACGATACTGTTGGCTTTGCTGGAGCATCTTGTAAGGAAAATGTCCAGGATGGAGGGGAGAGGGGCACCGATGATCTTTGCAGCTGTGTTCACTATCCGCTGGAGTGTCTTGCGATCTGCTGCACTACAGTTCCCGTACCAGACAGTGATGCAGCTGGTCAGCATGCTCGCAATGGTTCCCCTGTAGAATGTGGTGAGGATGGGTGGAGGGAGACTTGCTTTTTTCAGCCAGCTGAGAAAGTGTAGACGCTATTGTGCCTTCTTGGAGAGTGACATGGTGTTGGTGGTCCAGGTGAGATCCTCTGTGATGTGCACCCCCAGGAATTTAGTGCTGCTGACTCTCTCCACAGTCTAGCTGTCGATGGTCAGTGGGGGGTGGTCAACGGAGTTTCTGCTGAAGTCCATCACAACCTCCTTTGTCTTCCCCACATTGAGGGACAGGTTGTTAGTGCCACACCATTCAGCCAGCTGGGCCACTTCCTCTCTGTAGTGCGTTTCATCGTTGTTGCTGATAAGATCTACCACCGTTGTGTCATCAGCGAACTTGATGATGTTGTTGAAGCTGAACTTGGCAGTGCAGTCGTGGGTCAGCAGCGTGAAGAGCAGTGGGCTGAGCACACAGCCTTGTGGGACACCTGTGTGGTAGTGCTCGAGGTGTTGCAGCCGACATGGACTGACTGAGGTCTTCCAGTTTAAAAGTCCAGAATCCAATTACAGAGGGAATTGTTAAGGCCCAGCAGGTTTAGTTTATTAATAAACTGTTGTGGGATTATTGTGTTGAATGCTGAGCTGAAGTCGATGAACAGCATTCTAACATAGGAGTCTTTATTTTCTAGGTGGGTAAGAGCCAGGTGGAGGGTGGAGGAAATTGCATCGTCCGTAGAGCGCTTTGGACGGTATGCAAACTGGAGCAGATCGAGTGTGTTGGGGAGGCTAGTTTTGTTGTTGTGCATGACTAACCTCTCAAAGCACTTCATCATGATTGGAGTCAGTGCTATGGGATGGTAGTCATTTAGAGAGGGCACCGGTGATTTCTTTGGTACCGGTATGATTGTTGTGGATTTGAGACATGTGGGGACGACTGCCTGGCTCAGCGAGGTGTTGAAGATATCTGTTAGGACATCTATCAGCTGTGCAGCACAGTCACTCAGTACACGGCCAGGTATGTTGTCAGGACCCGCAGCCTTGCGTGGGTTAATGCTAGATAGGGTCTTCCATACGTTGGCTGGAGACAGAGCGCCTGGTCGTTGGGAGGTGTGGGCAGTTTTTGTGCAGGTGTGTCATTCTGCACTTTAAACCGTGAATAAAAGTGGTTGAGTGCATCTGGGAGGGATGTGTCATTATCACAGGCCTGTGGTGGGGGCTTGTAATCAGTGATGGTCTGAATGGCTTGCCACAGGCTCCGTTTGTCTCTGCTGTCTGTGAAGTGATTAATGACCGTTTCGCATTCTTGATACCACAGGACAGATTGGCTCTTGTGGTTTTGAGGGCTGCTTTATCTCCTGATCTGAATGCTTCATCTCTGGTCTTTAGCAGCCCACAAACCCCTGCTGTCATCCACGGCTTCTGGTTGGCATGTGTGGTGATGGTCTTGGTGACTGTCATATCATCAATGCACTTTTGATATAAGCACTCATAGTTTCAGTGTACTCCTGCAGGTCTGTGTGGTTGTTGTAGGTGGCCGCCTCTTTAAACATGTTCCAGTCTGTGCACTGAAAGCAGTCCTGTAGTGTTTAGGTAGCATCATCTGGCCAAATTGTGATGAGTTTTTGAACCGGTTTGGCGAGTTTCAGAAGTGGATCATGTGCTAGGATTAGCATAACAGAGATGTGGTCCGAGAACCCGAGGTGGGGGCGGGGTTCAGCCTTGTATGCGTTCTTCTCTGTTGTATAAACAAAGTCCAGTGTGTTGTTTTCCCTTGTTGCAAAGTTCACATGTTGGTAGAACTTTGGCAAAACTGCCTTTAAGTTTGCATCTGTCTGGGTTATTTGTTTGTTGTTCGCTGATGGAGCTGTACAGCTCGCGAAGCACGTCCTTAGTGCAGCTGAATGACAGAGTAAGGGATGTTGTCATTTAGCCATGTTTCAGTGAAAACAAACACCCAACAATCCCTTGTCTCATGCTGTGCAGACCGACTGAGTTGAATTAAGTCCAGTTTATTTTCCAGAGAGCGAACGTTTGAGAGCATGAGTGATGGAATCGCTGGTCTAGTGGGGTTAGCCCTTGGTCTAGTGGGGTTAGCCCTTAGCCTAGCTCCATGCATGCTGCGCTTCTGTCCGCTCTCACACTGCCGGCATCACCGCTTTGTGCGGGTAGTGTAAGTAGGCGAGGCCGCGGTCTCGGATTTCAGCTTCAGCAGCAGACAGAGGCCTCGTAGCTTCTCAGTAGTCACCAGCGAAAGCTGATGTTTGTACACACTGCCGATTTCCAGAAGTCTCTGGCGATCATTGTTGTGTTTCCGAGTGTTTATCTGATGATTTTACGGTAAAGTGAGACTGTTTGAAGATAACTAACAGATATAAAAACACCGTCTTTAGAACCCGGAGTAGCCACTGCGTCCGACCGTGCCGCCATCATGGTCTTTCTTAGTCTTTTGTTGCTCTGCCGCAACACTATGTGTGGGACGGATAGCAATAGACCAAGAGTGCAATTCTTTGCATTGCACACCTTGGCCACCTGGAATATTCGGGCGATGCTGTCAGTTCACCCCAAGGGAAGCACTTGGAGTTAGGACTAGGGTGTGTCCTGTAAGGTCGTGGTGGATGGGACACAGGATGCACTAGGTTGCCAAAAAATTATCAAAAAATTATTAATTATTAAAAAGAAATAAAAAATTACAGAAGGTTTCCTACAGAAATGTGACAAAATGATTTCTATAAAGATCTCCATGATTCATTCTCAAACACAACTTTAGCCAGCAGATGGCGTTGCGATTCTATTTCTGCAATAAAGATTGTTTTTTTTTTTTAATGATATGCAGAAAGGATAGAAAGGATTCTTTGCATTGCACACCTTGGCCACCTGGAATATTCGGGCGATGCTGTCAGTTCACCCCAAGGGAAGCACTTGGAGTTAGGACTAGGGTGTGTCCTGTAAGGTCGTGGTGGATGGGACACAGGATGCACTAGGTTGCCAAAAAATTATCAAAAAATTATTAATTATTAAAAAGAAATAAAAAATTACAGAAGGTTTCCTACAGAAATGTGACAAAATGATTTCTATAAAGATCTCCATGATTCATTCTCAGTCACAAACACAACTTTAGCCAGCAGATGGCGTTGCGATTCTATTTCTGCAATAAAGATTGTTTTTTTTTTTGAATGATATGCAGAAAGGATAGAAAGGTCCTTTTAACTCATGTTCACCATTAATTATTGACCCCCTCTAAAGTCCCTGATGATGGCACCACAACAACAAATCCCAAATCCATTTCACACATTTAAGAACTATAAAAATACACAGCTACTTTTAAATGTCCGTAAATAGAAAAAGAACAAGCTTCCCCCCATAATGGTGAAGTTACTCAATCAACCAGTGGAGGAAAAGCGTTTCCTGAAAATCTGGCAGTTCTTGAACCATCAGTCAACACAAACTACAAGTCTTTTACCAGGGCTGACTCCAACTGATTTTTTGGTAACACTTTATTTTAAGGTGTCCTTCGTAAAAAAAAAAAAAAAAAAAAAAAAAATTGTATATGAGGTGTTTTCAAGTCATTGCATGTATGAATTACATTTTTTATGTGTTTTTGAAAAGAAAAAAACGAAAAAAAAAACATCCAAACAAAAACATTACAGACCTAGAGGCTGTCTATTGGATTTGCAAGGGCTTTGTGAAGAAGGCCTTCAGCTCTGCTCTGAAGATCCTGTGTAGCTTGTTTTGTCTGCAGATTCAATTTACCTTTGCAGATGGCTTCAACAGCGCTTGTATTCTCATAATACAGCTCAAGGATTTTTAGATCAGTGTATTACAAATGAGCCATAGAGCACATCTATGACTCCAATACCTCATGTCGGCCATCTATAATTTTATTCACAAAGGTTGTGACCTCCTCCATGTGCGCACATTTTTCGTACAGCTTTGCTGGTCTTCAGCATTTCCTCAGTGAAATTCATGAGTGACTGTTTCAGCAGAGATAAACATGGCCTCTATGCCAGGCATCGGTGTTCGGTATAGGACCTGACTGAGACATCAAAGGTGCATTTGAACCCATTAAAATGTCACTAGGAAGAATTCTCATGTTGATTTAGCTCTGTGATATAAACTTGTCCTCCGCATCACATCCAGAGCGTGCTGTGTTACATTGTGAGTCATAAACAGATCGTAAGCAGAGCTGTACTGTGTATAACTGCGTCGACGGTATTGTTTTTTCTGCTTTCAACATGTCTTACAATAACAAGTGCTCAGGCAATAGCAAAAGGAACAAAGTAGCTGTGATGCACACAATGGTTGCATCTGAAAATTTTGTAGGCAAAAAACAGCATGTGAAAAGAGTAGTCCGAATTCATTATGTTCATAAAACAGTAGGCGAAAAGTCCCCAGATAACCTACTACTTTTGGCAAGATGATAAGTGCACTTCTAATGGTCACTTTTCTATCCCATGAGGCCACAGGAGAGGATTTGTGAATGGCTGTGAAGCGCCATAACTGACACTGTAGGTCACATGACAACATGACAATATAGCACATCCAGATTAAATTCATACTGAACACATTCACACGATATAGATCATACTTTTTAATGTATGTGAAGTGATTACTTATTCAAAAGACTGTCTACACAGACAGTATGCAGTTTAGGATGCTGTCAGTGAGATGAAGCAGAATATAGGCCCAAAATCTCCCAGAATGCATTGCAACAAGCTCAAAAAATTCCATATAAGATGGTGGAGAAAGTGAGATCAATAAAATAATACCTAAAAGTATTCTTATGCTTATCAGAGATTGTCATTGTTAGCAACATGCTAAAACCAAACTCTGTTGGTGAGTTGAGTTGAGCCTCAAATGCAAAGCATGGTAATGTTAGAAATGCCATTGTTTGAAAATTAGCAGTTTTGGTATTACCAATTAGCAAAACTATTTGTTTAACTACATTTCTTAACAGCAAAGTATTAGTTTTGCTAGCTTGTAGATAATTTTCTTTGAAAAACTCGTTATTGTTAAATTTTCCCCTATAGCTGTCAGCTGTTTAGAATCACAAGTTGCGATTTCTGATTTGATCAAATTTGAGCTTAAATGTAGCACATGTAATTAGCTTCTTTTTCTAAACAGTAGATTTTAGCTTAGCTTGGCACAGCTATTTTTGTGTGGAACAACTCGACTACATTTCCTGAATAGCTTAATTGTCTAACACTGGAAATCATTCACTTATGAGCCGGGATAGATGAAAAATAACTAGTTTAAATGTAGCAAGCTACTTTTGTCATGTAACTTGTGGTGTAATTAGTTCATTTCTGTCAGGACCATTATCGTCAAATATGATTGACAATTAGCATACAGTTTGGATTGGCGGTATGGTTCTGTTCTGGGCAAGAACTCCCTGCGCATCCATGCAGCCGAGCATTGATGAGAGCAGGGAGAGCAGCGATAACCCCCCAGGCTAAACAGAACAGAACCAACATAAATGTATTGCAGATATTGTTAAAGTTCAATCATGTTATGTACACATTTTAGAATTAGTCTGATTCAAAGGAGAATCAGAAGGCTGAATCCTGACTGACGGAGGAGGAGCTGGGGATGGAGGAGGGTAATTAGCTATTGAGCAATGCGAAAACTGCTGATACTACTGAGGGACCTTATATATGAATGCTTAGATAGGTGTCATATTCCTATAGGTTGATGGGGATCAGCTGAGAGTCAGCTGATGCAAGCTTGACTCACGTGACCTGCCAGAACTAACGCTACGCTAGATTTTTCTAAACATTATGGCTGTGTCCGAAATACCCCTACTAATGCACTATTTTGAGTGGACAGACATTGGTAGTGGGCATTATCGAGTGCACTAATTCAATACCACAATGCACCTAACTAGGTAATTTTTGCCTAGCTTAGCCTAGCTCATTTTTGAACGTACCACTTTTTGTTTTTTGGGATGCTTATATGTAGGCAATGGCCATCATCATAAAAGAGGTTATGAAACGGAGCCCATGTCTAAGAATGGAGTACTAATGACTGACATGGTTACGCTCAGTGTTGAATCAGGCTACTTTAACACTGTTGCCGTGGGTTGTTTTTCATATCCGCGGGTTGAACCGACTCCAGTAACATGATATTTATCCCCTGGAATGCGAATTTTAACTGGGCACCACCTCAAAACGTGATTGGGCTAGTTTTGAGTAGCGATTGGGCGGGTTTTCTTGTGAAAACCTGGCAACCCTGGTTACGCTGTGGGCAGTATGTGCTCTTTTCTGTGTATTCTGTGAAAAGGCCTATAGTACACGAGTACACCATGTCCTATTTCTTTCATGTATAATTATGTTAATAATACTTGGTACAATGGTGTCTTCATTTGCAGCAATTAGATGTGACCTACAGTCATAAGTAATAGGCAGAGACATGAAATGTATACATGAAAGAGCAGGATGAGGTATCAAACCCATCTTCGTAGATAACAAGCGCTGATATTGTCGACAATGTGCTGTGATTATAAACAACCAAATCTCTAGGCAACTAGTCAACATTGCCCAAAACAGCTGTGCAAGCAGAACAACGCTGCAAGATGTTATCATTAGTGGTGTTTGCTAAGGTGGTTGCTCAATATACTTAGAGCTAGGGATTCCAACAAGCCCCAACCCTAGATATTAAACATGTCCTGATATATAGCTTGTCCTGCACACCCATCATGTGCCCGTCATTATCTTTTTATGGCTTGGCAAGCTTATAGTGCAGGTTGCAAATTGTCATATGGAGCAACTCCTCAAAAATATTAAAGATCCTCTGGAGTGAATGGGTGCCGTCAGAATGAGAGTTCAAACAGCTGATAAAAACGTCACAATAATCCACAAGTAACTCCAGTCCATCAAATAACATCTTGAGAAACCAAAAGCTGCATGTTTGTAAGAAACGTCATTAAAATGTTTTTAACTTTAAATCATCACTTCTAGACAAAATATCCATAATCTCCTGTTGTCCTCCCACATATTTGTTTAGAGCTGTTTTCGATTGTTTTCACTTCTAAATGGTGTTTGATCTGCGCATATTTCTCTTCAAATTTTTCACTGAAGGAAGCAATATAATGGATAGAGGAAGTGTTTTATCCGGAAGTGATGGTTTTAAAAAAAGAAAAGAAATGTCCTATTGATTAATTTATTACAAATATGCCGCTTTTTACTTCACATGACATTAACTGATGGACTGGAGTGGTGTGGATTATTGTGATGTTTTTATCAGCTGTTTGGACTCTCGTTCTGACGGCACCCATTCACTGCAGAGGATCCGTTGGAGAGCAAGTGATGCAATGCTACATTTTTCCAAATCTGATGAAGAAACAAACTTGGATGAGTTGAGGGTGAGTACATTTTTCGCAAATTGTCATTTTTGTATGAACTATTCCTTTAATGCATTAATAATGTATTATATTTTTTATCTTAAAACTATGTTCACTTTTGGAAAAATTAAATATTTAACATGCATACTGACATCTATTCAAGGTAGGTAAGAAAAATATGGTATTCTTGAGGATTACACCACATTTCTAATCATTTAATTGAACCTTTTATTAAATGAAACCAACATTAGTACAAAGATTACATTTGTAAGAAATTGGCTTTTGTGTTTTAAACTTGTTTTTTCAAAGTTTTATTTTCTTTTTTATGGAAACTCCTATTTGACCTCCTTGGGAGCAGGTGGTGGATAGGAAGGGTTTAATAATACGCACACTGATATCAGCCAAAAAGGAAAGTAATTTGAAAGGCAGACCACATTATTACATTTTGAAAAAGGTCAAATTTATTATTATTTTTTGGAACAACATGCACTAATCAATCGTGCACAGTAAGACCAGAAACAAGTGAAAATGAGAAAGTAAATGGGGTCAATTTTCATTGTAGAAAAAATACTGGCCAACCATTACTCATTTTGACTGAAAAAAAGAAAAAGCGAAACCCAGACTATTTATGATGGAATGAACACTTGTCACTGTGTGAGTAACATGCGCAGCAGACCTATCACAGAAGTAATATGGTGTTGCTTAGAGACATGGCAAATGTCAGCTGGCCGCCTCATCGTCATCCTGTTGCTTGCTATCCGGCTCCTTCTGCCCGGCCGCCGTTAATTAACACCTGGATTCTCTTCGGATGAATCAGTTCTGCTGGAGCTCTGCGGTTGCCAGGTGCCTGAAGAGTGACAAGCATTTGCTGAAGGTGGTTAAAAGCACCATTTCCTTAGTGCCCATTTACACCCTTTTATATTATGCTGTTTCTGTTTGATTTGAAACACACTGAGGAATTCATAAATTCAGCCCTTTTGTTATGCTGTGACAAGAGTATTGTCCGAGTATTCACTGCCATGTTGTTAGGGTGTTGTGGTTTATTGCCAGGGCATCACTATGTGGTTGCTATAAGGTTTTAGCATGTTTCTATGTGGTTACTTTGGTGTTCTGGGCAGTTACTTTGGTATTGTATTGTTTGCCTGAACAAAACTCATTGCTATGATGTTTGTGTCAAAACCATGCTATGTGGTTGCTAGGTATTCTGAGTCATTTTCAGTGTGTGATTGGTAGAATGGTTGCTAGAATGTTCTGGATGGTTGCTAGGGCATTGCTAGGTGGTTTTGTATATGTATTGTAGTATTATTTGTACAAAACTCATAGGCCGTGAGGCTTCTGTCAACACAACCACACTATGTGGTTAGTAGGTGCTCTGGGTTGTTGTTAAGGTGTCATTTTGTGGTTGCTATGGTGTTGCTAGGTAGTTGTTAAGGCATTGCTATGCTGTTGTTTTAGATGTTCTGAGTAACGCCCAAAACACACTGCATGATTTTCGGCTGTCCCAGATGAAAGATTGGGTTCGTGAAACAATCAAGGAGATTTTTGTGATCGTGGCACCTAATCGATGATCCTGTGTCGTACAGTGAAAGAGGTTCAAAGACGGCCATTGCCACAGTCTTGTGACCAAAGCCTACGATACAGCATGATCATCGCACAGTGTGTTCGCTGGTACGATCCACGTTTA